TATATAAATTCAACAATCATATTAAATCCAAAAAATAAAAAGATATCGGGTTCATCGGGTTGGGTTGGGTTGAGTTCAAATAATAGTAACTCAATATCAACGATTTGAAAGTTTTACAACTCGATTAGACATTGAGCTGCTTCGGGTTGAGTTATTTCGCGTTGGGTTAGGCTGGGTTGATCGGATTTTTGAGCATCTCTAATTATGAATATGGTTTTATACTATTTTTCTAGTGAAAATTTGGATTTTAAAAAAAAAAATTATTATGTCAAAAAGTTTTATTGTAGATGGTTTTTTCAAAATCCAATCTGTGTGTCTAAGGGGCCGTTTACTAAACGCTTATCCGGGTATGTGCTTATCAAGTCACGTTACCTCACCGGATGAATATGGTAAGGACCAAAAATCCTACCCGGTAAGAATGAGACAAGAACTAAGAGTCTCACCCAGTAAGCGAGGGCGACAACTCTTACCACGGTAAGCGCTTACCAGGTAAATTGTTGTATATTATGTCGTTTTGGTGGACTAAAATCTTACCCGGTAAGTACATAATAGTGTTAAATTTTACCGGTAAGCACTTACTGGGTAAGTGTTAGGTAAACGGCCCCTAAATCAGTTTATGTATACCTTGATTAATTCTATGTAGTTAACAACAAGATAAACTATCGGTGCACCAACGGGACTCAAACTAGTGACCAATGTAAAACCACAAGAATGATGTCTGATTGGTTTGAGCTTGGGCTTTAAAGGTCAAAAGTATCTTGAGGTACCAAGTTCAAATCCGTTGTGGCCATGGCAGTTCATATGCGTTGACTCCGGGCTACCCACAAAGCAGGTAGTGTCCTTGAGATTAGTTGGCTCGTATAGCTGATTGGATATCTAGGTTAATAGAAAAAACTCTACTCAACAGTTATCTTAACAGTCTATTTGTGTCTTTCATTGAATTAAGAGAGGGTTTGATTTTATGAAATGATTTTGAGGGATTTTGATTTCATGGAAGGATTCGGAATCTTTAGTGCATTTGAGGTTTGTAGGATTTGGAATGAAATTTAATTCCATTTTTTGTAAGTAACTTATAAAAATAATTAAATTATCTTTTTATTAATTTATTATTACAAAACAAGTGATTTTAACATATTTTAAAACATTATTACAAACAAATTCTACGAAAGCCCACGAAATACCATTTGGGAATTCGATTAAATCCAGAGATTTCAAATCCACGCAATCCCTCGAACAAAACACGGGATTAGAATGAGATCGAATTCCAAATCCCACCAAATTCAATCCTACAAAACCAAACGGGAGCAAAGAGTTACCGACCGGTGGTCGTGGGTCCCATATATCCAAGTTTACGGGTGTTTTTTTTTAATGTAATTTAAGGAAAAAAATGTTAAAATTGTCTAAAGGTCAAAAGTGTCTAGAGGTCCCAGGTTCAAATCCAATGAAGAATAAAAATCCCCCTGTAGCCACAAAAGTTCAAATGTGGTAACTCCAGACTACCCATAAAAGCATATGATCGCACTGGGATTAGTCAGCTCACATAACGAGTTGGATATCCAGGTTAATAAAAAAAAATCAAATCTTTTTATATTTATTGAACAAAATAAGTCTAGATTGTGTTTTGTTTCAGGAACAGCAAACACAAAGATCAATTATATGATTAGATTCAGCTGGCTTTTTCATTTTATTGATTTAATTGTTACGATTAATATGTATGCATAACTTGTACCGTACAAGTCATTAATGCATCCTAAAACGCCCACGAGACAGAACAATTCAAAAACCGTTTTATTTATTGAAATGGGTTATCCCAGCCTTCGCCCAGACCAATCCCACGACAAGAGGTTTCACTTACAGCTCTGAAGTAAATCCTTCGGTGGTTACAAATACATACTTAAATGACAGCATTTGAACCCGTGTTGATTTTTATCATCCATTTGTCTTTATCCACCATGCTACCACCCTTCTGGTTGACAATTGAAAAACCAGTTGTCTCACGGTTGGCACAACATTAGATAGGGACATAACGAGACTTTTTTAGTTGACCGTGGGTGTTCGAACCAACTTGAGCACCCTCGACTAATTCCAGAGGCCCATGGGCCCTAGAGAACAGGCAAGAAAATCCCTATTGGTTTTTGCGAGATTTGAACCGGTGACCTCTAAGGAGAATTCCAAAAAGCCCAAGATTGCGAGTTAACCCCACAAGATTAGCACGACTTGCAAGACGGAACAGAAGAAGACTTGAGCGAGACAAAAATGCACTTTTTTTTCTTCTATCGAACCAAAATAGGTGGAACAAAAATCAACAACATAAGATAAGATTGGTAAATTACTAAACTACCCATATCAAATTAAAACCCTAAAACCTTCCAGGTTTCTTTCACCCAGCCAGTCCTACCCTATCCAGTCCCTTCTGCAATTTTGACTTTGAACATGAGATATGATTGAACCATGAAGCTATCAATCAATGTAGGTCCGCCCCTGGGTCGAACCATTTTTTGCACAAACTAAGTATCAGAAAACGGAAAGATTACGAAAAAATTACAAAAAAAAATTTATAAATAAGATACGCGACGAATAGCAAACTAAATCACAAAGAGATCATTGGCAGCTTATTGAGGAAGAACAGCATACTAAACCTACATTCTGAACTATCCTATACAGAAATGCGTTATGTTCAATAAACCCGTAAAATCTTACCAATTTGAGTATGATGGATGATCTTCGGTTTTGATTTTGTTGAACCAGATGGTTCGTGTTCTACGGAAACTTTATAAAGTTATTTCTGAACGCTTTTCTTGCATCTCCTGTGGTTCTACTTCCGTCAACCGGTTTTTGTTCTCTAACGACGTCATTTTCTTGGATGATTCGTCAAAATCTTCTTGATCTTCGGTCTTATTGTTACTACATACAACAGAGAACGACGAAAAGGTTAAAACAGATCCGAAAGGAGGGACGTATTCGAGCGAAGATGGAGGGTTGATTTTTAAAACCATCGTATATGACTTTTCGTTATGGAAATGCGAAAAGAATGCAATGTTTCATAAGAACAAGTGATTCTTGCATACTGTAGTATCGTTTAAGCATCACTGCAAGGGAGAACTCAGTACTTTGTGAAATCCGTGAGATGCAATCTCAACCACAAAACAAAATTTAAATTAGGAAATTAATGGTATTTTTTAACTTGAAATTTAAAATAGTGGCATTTTAGGTATTTTAGAAATTTAAAGTATGACGATTTAGAAAGCCAATCATTCGATAAGGATGTTACCTTTTCATCGTGGGGTTCGAATTTTCGGCTGTAGCTACCTGAAGATAAAGAGTTATCGGGAACATAAAGATATAGTCTCTCAAAGGAAAAAAAGATTAGACCTTTAGTGGGGACAAGTTCAAATGAAAACCATAAATATTTTAAGAACCTCGAAACAAACTTCAATCATGATCTATTCATCATATTCATGCCTTATTCATGATGAATAATGCAAGATATTCATGATTTTTCATGATGAATAATGAATGATATTCAGGATTATTCATGATGAATAAGACATGATATTCATGATTATTCAAGGTTATTCATCATGAATAATAAATGAAATAGTTGGTTCCTAGATTTCCAAAACGTTTATGTTTCTCATTTGAACTTTCCCGACTTTTGATGTTTTCAATATGAAGTTTAAAGTGTAGATACCTGCGAATTCTCGGTTTTTTGAACAAGAACATCCAATTTTCTTTCAAACTCTTTGATTTCATATTGAAGATCTTTCTCCTTAAGTAGATATAAATCCGAGCTATCAATAGCAACTTCTTCCAATCTTTCGCTTTCCCGATTCTGCCTCTCGGTTTCAGCCATATTTTCAATCTGTTTCTTGATCTTCTCTAATTGTTTCGACTTGAGACTTATTTGGTCCGAAAGATCGACAAGTTTTTCTTGAAATCGGTCACCAAGATGCTGCAACTCTTCTTTCATTTTCACGATCATATCTTCAAGAACCCGTTTCTCTACTCGAAGTATATTAGCTTCATCCATGGCTTTCATGGCCGCCTTCTCGTTAACTTCAAACGTCGATGCCATTTTCTGGGAAAGCCTTCTAAGTTCCTCCTGAAGCCGTGCGGCTGCATTCGCGTTTTGCAATCTCATCTTTCGCAAATTATCTTCTGCACGAATCGCTCGTTGTTCCTGCTCGGTTTTTGCATTCATTAGATCTTCAAGATCGATCTCAAACCCATGACTTTGATTCTCCAAATCTTCCTCCAGATTCTTGATATGGGTTTCGAGCTCCTTTATAGCAAGAATCGATTCTGATAATTCTTTGGATTTCAATTTGAGATCGTTCTCCAAGATCTCTATCTGTGATTCGAGTTCATTTAAAGTGGCGTAAGATGTACATTCATACTGAATCTTTAACTGTTCCTGCAATTGGCTACGCTCGAGCTTATAACACATTTCGTGGTTTTCCTGCTTTAGAATCTCGTAATCGAGTGCAATTTGCTCGATTTGCATTTCGAGCTCGTCTTTGTCTCTTTTATATAACTCGATTTCGCCGTAAAGATCGACTATCTTTTGCTCGAGCAAGTACGTTTCTTTCGTGCCACTATGTTCTCTAACGATCGCTTCCAACTCCCTTTGCTCCTCATCGTCATCCGTTTCGGATTTAGAACCGACTACATACGACTGTTGACCATTGAAAAATATTGACTTTGACTTTTCTAAAGCAAGAATCAATTCGGCATTCGACTCCTGTGTTTTCTGAAGTTGTAACGAAAGATTGGAGCTCAAATCCTTCTCGTGGTTTAGTTCTTGTCTCAGTTCATCGATGATGGCCCACGGATCACCTTCGTCAATCAACAACATACCGTTGACTTTGACTTCCTTTAAGGCATTTCGCTCTTCTTCAAGATTAGCTACGTCTCTCGAAAGATCCTGGCTCTTTTTCATCTCCTTCACGATTTGCTTACGAAGGGCCTGCAATTCTAACTCGGCAAGATCCGCCTGCCGAGTCAAAGCCGCAACTTTGACCTTGAGCTTTTGAATCACGGCATCTGAAGAACTATCTTCCAAAGATTCTCCTAGTGTACTTACTGAAGAATCGTTTCGTTTTAATTTGGGAGATGAACCATTTAACCAATCCCATTGTGACGATCTTTCAACTGTTATTGAGGGTTCACGAGCTGGTTTAGTGTTCTTTGGTTTGTGTTCCATTGGGGTATCGATCCCAGAACTGCTATCGGAACTTGACAACATGATATCAGAACCATTAGATGCCCGATGATCTCTGTTAATGCCGTTGCTTAAAGCCCCATGATCCTGTTAGACATGTTACGTCTTCGTTATGCTAGATATTTGCATCATTGTGCTTCCATGATTCGTTTAAAAATGTAAAAATGTTTGGTACGCAGACAGGACTGGACGGGTAAGGGGCTGTTTGGTTGGTTTTCCATTAAGTCCTGAATGGATAAGCTGTCTGTGTGGATTAATCTGTCTGTATAGATCGGAAAGGTTTTCGTTTGGGAAAGGTTTTTCATAGATCAAATGAGCTGTCTTTTAATTGAGAGGGGCAGGTTCAGAAAAAAACTTGGCTTTCTGCATAAAGTTTTCCCTTAGAATTTTACTGAATAAGCCACTACTAGACACTCATGTATAGTTGACCGAATAAGTTGTGAGTCCTATTAAGCTCATTAAGCTGCTAACCAAAGATCCTTAGTGAGATAAGTGGGTGAAAGAATTTTTGAAAGATTTTAGGGTTTTAATTTGACATGGATAGTTAGTAATTTACGAATCTTGTCCCATCTTCATAAATTTTGTTCAACCTATTTTGGTGGGGCAAAAAGATGCATTTCTATCCCACTCGGTCTATGTCTTGTCCAGGTTTTTGTTCAGTCCTTGTCGTATCATGCGTACCAACATGATTAAATAGTTAAAAAATTAAACTACATTGATCAGTGTTTAATCATAAGAACCAAACTACCAGATTTCCCAAATTGTATCCCCTTTTTAGCTATGTGAAGTGAAAACTTACTTCAGTAGGATTGCTTCTAATGTTTCCTTCTACACCATTGTTGCCAAAGTATGTCCTCAAGCTTCGATCATGGTGGCTTTCATTGCCACTTCCATCAATCTCCCTGCAAATTATAGGAGTGTATATATAATATTTGAAGTTATAAAAATGGAAAGCTATTGAACCCTGAACCCTGAACCTTGCTAAAATCCAAGTTTACCTCTGTTCAAAAGAACCCTGCACCCTTTGAATCAATACCTGATTCAAAAGACATATATAACCATTAAACTTGAGCTAACAAATCCACTACAGTGAAAATATATATGCAGGAGAAGGGACTAACATGAAGCATAGCTGCAGAATTTGTGTTTTTCAGAGGAAGAGATAAAGAAGAAAGCTTTGAAGTCTCGGCATAATTTGCAAAATCAATTGAAACCTCTCCAAAGCCACCAAATCTTGAAGAATCCTACAAAATATCAAAAACCCATGATTTTTTTCTTTTACTTTTCGTTTTAAGTTGCTTGGTTTGGAAACATATGAAATAGTCTCGGTATAGATTTGAAGAAATCTGTACCTTTGCCACAACAAAGTAATAGATTTTCTCATAAAACTTTCCGGTTTTTGGATCTTGAGAGAATTTCACAGTTTCATAAAGTGGTTTTTCCCAATAACAGCTTCCATCTTGAACTTTGGCTTTCTCTGGTCTTGATGTTGGTTTTCCAATATCAGCAGGAACCACAGATATCATCAAAGCATCTCCTCCTAACTGTGCCAACTGCATATACATAACAGATTATTATAGTAAGCATTTGGCGATGGAAAACCCGAAAAATGTCTATTTTTTCACAGCATGAATAAATAGTCTTTCATCAGTTTTTAAAACCAGATAACTTTCTTGATGATGATTCGAACAAGTTTAAGTTAGTTTTTTCAATTGACCATGTTAGGATCATATATGCAGGATTTCTGTTAGAATTCCATGGACTTCCGCCTTAAAATAATCGTAAACCTTGAGGGTTAGCTCAACCGATAAATAAAGGTTAGGCGTCCTCCCTATAGGTCAGTTCAAGTCTTTTCAGGGCTATTAAGGATTTTCCTAGTTGTTATCTTTAGAGCCCCATGGGATTAGACGAACGCAAGCAATTCCACACACCCACAGTTTAAAAAATGATAAACCAATTGGCAACGATGGAGAAGTCATTCTTGAATCATTTCTATTAATGGATTAGATCACACTTTCTATTTATAACCCCATCATACGATGACAGCTTTCACATCTAGAGGTGTGCATGTGCACAAATAGATGGGGTCCAAGTAGTTGAGTTATTAACAGTTTTTATTGTATGACTGCAGACGTTGTGACCTCTAGTACCATGTAAGTAGTTGAGTTATTAACGGTTTTTATAGTACGACTGCATGGCTTTTGGTACCATGTAAGTAGTTGAGTTATTAACGGTTTTTATAGTACGACTGCATACTTATGACCTCTAGTACCATGTAAAAAGTCCTTTCAGCATTTATCTCAAAACAAAACCAAATCAAATGAACCTAATATATCACGCTCGAAAGTATGGTCTTACGACTTCGAGGAGACCTGCGTTTTTGGTAAAGAGTCGCGGGCGTTAGAGCATTAAGGGGACCTTTCCCTAGTACGAGAGGACCCTTCAATTCGAATTAGCAAAAGCAATGTCTCCTTGCATTATATGGATTCCAAAAAATAGACCGAATTCTAGGATCCCTCCTCAAGGTAAATACTTTTATAGTTTTATGCATACATCTTCTGGTTGATCAATGTAAGATGTATGCAGATCTTACTTCAAAGCTAGGATCTAGAGGTTGTTTCTATGAAGAACCCTACCTTATCGGTATATCACATCATACATATCATAATCAAGCCCTATAAAAGAAGGAAATAAACACCCATCAATCCCCTTCCTTTTTGACTTCTTTTATGTATGTATAAGATGGAAAATACTCGATAAATTTCCAAATTTTAACTTTTAGTTATACACTTCCAAATTTGCAATTTCTTCCCAGAAACAGAAGGCCTCACAACAGAAACTTTGAAAGTTCATCTCTTAGTCGATTCAACAAACACCTTATATGCAACAATGCAACAATGCAACAAATCATTTCAGTATATATATAGAGAGAGACATCATGCATGCAATTATCAAACACATTCTGGTTTTGATTAAGAAATATATTTCACCTGAGTTGCATGAAACTGCAATTTAAACACGGCTTTGATCTTGTTCTTCTCGCTCCTCCATCTCGTCGACTTAAACATTTTTATATTTTATATAGATATCAAAGGCTCATATCTACATTGCCGAAGTCCAATTTCAGGGTAATCTTGGCTAATTTATAGAAAAATCCATAACCTAAAAGGAGAATCAGAAAACCATCGATGTTTTTGTTACAAGACGCCCACGTTTCCTCGGTTTACAACAATACAAACCCAGTATGATTTCACTATTTCAAACGCAAAATTGAGCTTTCAGAACGAGTAGAAATGGAAGAACTCGTGCAAACCCGACCCTCTTTTACAGTCTACCCGTGTTACCTTCGTTCGAAATAATCAAAAAACCCAGATTCAAATCTCGAAATTTCAAAGCTCAGAAAACATGGACGACAGAAACACACACAGATTTAGTCAAGGAGCGAGTAAAGACGATGCAAAAGTTGGTAAAAGATTGGGGTTTTTGGGGTTCAGAGAAGCTTATCTACAGTGAAGGCTCGTGAATGATTCAGGAATGAGATTGGGGAATTCACCACCAAAATCCAACAAAGAATCTGTCTCTGTGTTTCTGTATCTGAATAAAAACAAATAATGTAGGTATCTTACTGTCAACAAGAAAGAAATAGAACGGCCAAACCCTCTTTTCCTTTATTTATGAAATGATGAATATATGAAATCCATGGGAGATAAAAGTATGAGTCAATTACATTTTGGTCCATATGGTTTATATGAAGTTATGGATTTAGTCCCTAAAGTGAAGTAATTACATGGATCGTCCCTACGGTATGCAATTTGTTGCGAGATTGATCCCTTGCTCGGACTATGTTAAACTTCAATCCCTTTAAGTAAAGGGCAATTTGGTTTGTTTACCTATTGATTAAAAACTCTTTTGAAATACCACTTAGATGATGCAGTTGTCCACCTATTCCATCTTGGTTAACCTGCAACCTACACACATAAAGGTTAACCCCGTTAGCATACACTTCAAAATGGTTTCAAGCGTTGTGGTTCCTTTAGACTTAGCATTTGAATAATATATGGTATTCATGGAGAGTCGAGTGCAAAAGAAGAAGATGGGCTCGGTGCAATGTTGGTTTTAGTGGCATGTGGTTCATTTGGTTCAATAGTTGATGATGACTAAAAGGGTTCAATTGATGTTGTGTAAATGGTGGTGTTCAAATGACTTAGGGTATTGTTATCAACTTGCTTTTGATTGTTGTGGTGTGTGTTGTAGTTTTTATTAGACCAAATGAGGTATGTTTGAATGTTATGGCTGAGTCAAAAATAATGGAAGGGGATGTTTCATGGGATACGAACGTTGATGTGGTAGCCTAAATGGCACCAGATTCAAATGGCTTTGTTAGTGTTGCACCAAAGGATGGTGAAATACCAATTTAAATATATTGCTCTTTAAACGGATGATTAATTCGAATTTCTAGTAAAACTTGCATCTTGTTGAGTACCTGTGGTAAAACGAGAACACATTAGATGTTAATTCTACCACCCTATTCAACTCAAAATCCAATGTTATTTTTGAAAAGATCCTTAGTGCAAAAAAAACCCATCAAGATTTCACCATGGATTCTTCAAAATCATGGCTCAAAAGACACTCCTCCAATAAGAATCTTCTCAATTTGTATGTGTGTGTAAGAGAAAAAGAGAGAAATAGAGAAGTTGCATGTGGTAGGGCTTCTCGAAGTGGAGGCTGGGGCTTCATCAGATAAAATCGACAGTGGATGTTGTGTTTACTAGAGATGTTTGGTTCTTCAATCATGTGTGTGTATGTCTTGTGAGAAGACAGAGATGTAGACATGCAGTAGGGAAGACCAAAGATGGAGGCCGGTGGAAGTGGATATGGTACTTCACTGAATAAAGCCACATTTATTCGTTGTACTTGTGTGTGTGTGTGTATAAAGTTAGGTTCCAGTGAGAAAGTAAGTTATTATGAAAAACATAAGAAAAGATCTCCATCCTGGATCAATCCTAATTGAATGTCCACACTAATAAGATATACTAAGATACATCGGATCAATTCCCTTCTAAAATGCAATTCATAAGTGTACATGAGATAAAAAATGATGAGAGTTGAAATCTCTTCTTACGTTTCTCTTCATAACTTTCTTTCTCACATGATCTTTCACACACACACACACATATATATATATATATATATGTATGTATGTATATAATATTCAAGTATATATTGGAACCTAAGGGTGTCAAGACAAAGGACCGATCTCACAAAAAAAATGCTTATCACATATCAGTCCATGTAATCAAGGGACAAAATCCGTAATATATGTAACTACGAGGGTAAAAAATGTAATTTGCTTTAAAAGTAATTATTGTGATACCAGGTGATGACATATATGAAGAGCGTGGGGCCATGACCGTTAAGAAAAATAAATATATTTCAGATTTTTATATGAAATTGGGTTTTTAACAAATTTCTATATGAAAAAAATAATATAAAATTCTTAGAAAATGACGTCATTTTTATATCTTTCCGGTTGTTTAGTGATAATTTACACGTCATTTTTATAATCTACATTTTTTATTTTCTCAATGAAAAAAAATTCAACCATTCAATTTTAAACATGTTTTTATATCAAGGGGGTGTTTGGAATTACTTATAAAAATAAATTATTGACTCGGTAATAAACATTTTTGAGTGTTTGGATAAATAACTTATAACGGTGTCAAACCGGTAATAAAAAGTATTTGAAAAAGTTGAAGTCTTGTGACTTATAATAAGTTGATAAGTGCTTTTATAGAAAAACATAAGCTGTTTCATATAAGCAATCTCAAACACCCTGTAAATTTTGTAAGTTGTTTAGCAAACATTTATCCGAATAAGTGTCTACCAAGTCACATTACCTTATCGAGTACATATGATAAGAACCAAGAATTTTACCCGGTAAGAGCGAAGACAAAGATCGAGAGTCTTGCCCGGTAAGTGGGGGCGACGACTCTTACCACAGTTAGCTCTTACCGGGTAAATTGTTGCATATGATACCGTTTGGTGGATTAAAATCTTACCCAGTAAGTAGGTGATAATGTTGAGTTTTGTTGATAAGTACTTACCTAGGTAAGCATTTTGTTAAACGGCCCCTAAATGAAATTTAGCTTCGTTTCTTATTTTAAAGGAATTATTATATGGTTAAAGTACAATGATAAAATGAGAAAACGGAACAAGAAGTTAAGTTCTTGTATAAAGAATTGGGTTTTTGTTAAGGAGATTTGATCGAATATAGTGGCGAATCTAGAAACTTTTATCAACGGGGGCATACTTTGAGGTGCCAAGAAAATTCGAAACCAATAACTCATCAGAACCAAAACGGTTTTGGATTTTTAGGTTTATTTTATGGGGGCATCATAAGAATTTTACCCTAAGAACACATTTCCAACACTTTACATTGAATTTTTTGTTGGGGGCAAGTACTAGAGGTGATTATTTGCGGGTTTGGATTGGGTTCGAGCCGGGCCTAACTTGTTTTTTTTGTCTAATGAGTCTAATATTGTAAACCCAAGTCCTTTTACTCGGGTTTGACAACTTGCCATTGCCCACCCTATAAACTACGGGCTAACGGACATAAAAAGTGTAACTCTTATAAATCTATAAACTTGATCACCAACAATTAATTAACAAATGTGAAACCAAAAAGTAACGATAAAAACACTGTTGCAATTAAAATTTTAAGCAACTAAAGTGATATATGAATCTCAACAAGTGAAGAAAAAAAAATGAAAAACAAACAACCCCTTAGTCTTTTGGGTTCTCAAAAATAACCAAAGAGTCTCATCCTGTACCTTTAAGAACATAATTTTAAAATATACCAGTATTTAGTTAAAGTTAAAAAAAATATCAATTATAAAACAAAACAGACTTGACGGATCTGTCCATATTTATTTTTACATTGTCCATGTCCATTCGTTAATTTTAACGAATAAACCCGGACCAATCCATTTTCTCGATAATAGTTGTCCAAGACCATATTTCTAGCGAGCCAAATGAATCTGATCTAATGGGTCGTCTCATCCAGAAAAGAGAAGAAAGATGATGCAATTAAATTAGATTTGTATTTTGATATCAAATAACAAGGGTAATATTGTAATTTCAAATTTAGTCTCATGTTATTCTACTTTTTGATGAAACAAAAAAACTCAAGAACAGTCTAATTCGATCTTACTTTTTTGTCTCGTTTTGTTCCTCTCTTTTAAGGAAGGTGGTGACACGAAGCAAACCAACGGTCGATTGTTTGACCACTGCATACGTGGCCATCTACGCATTATTTATTTTATTAAATTATTTTTTTAATATTTAATTTAAAAATACTAGAAAACGACTCCTACCCAACAACATTCTAAAAGACGAAAGAATTTTGTCTTAATCAATTGATTCATCAAATTTGACGGGATATTATTCTCATTACATGATAAAAAAAAATCATGTGATATTTTGTTTTTTTATGTTATTTTATTTTTACGGATAATTATAATATAAGATAAATTACATGAAAAATAATGTACTTTAACTTGATTCATATTTTAGATAACGTATTTTTAAAACTTTCATTTTGATACATAAGATGTAAAGGTTTAAACATTTAAGTATATAAGCGGGAGTTCATATGAGAACACCACTGCTTTATGAGAACCATTTAATGTTTAAAATTTTACATCTTAGGTACCAAAATGAAAGTTTTGAAAGTACGTTACCCAAAATAGGAATCAAGTTAAAGTACGTTACTTTTTCATGCAATTTGCCCTTTTGTATTTATCTGTGATTTTGATGACATTGTTATCCCTAAAATTACATGCAAATAATAACACGGTGAACATGTAAAGCAATGATTGTAGACGTGTTCATCATTGGTTTTCGATTGTCACAACATTATCACAACAAAATCATATAATTTATCAGATGATTATCGCAGCAAAATCGCATCATAAAAAAACTTTAATTTATTAAAACATTATCAATTATTATTATATGAGAACCATAAAAAAGTTACAAACATGTGAGAACTAATATAAGGATATTTTTTCACATGGTTTTTTTCCATCAAAAACTATGATCTTAGTTATTGTTTCACATATGTTTGTGTTCATATGGTGAAAAAAAATCCATGTGACACTTTTTTTTTTTGTTTCACTTAATGGAACGAAAAAATAACGACAAAAAGTTTCACAAATTTAAAAAATATGCACGTGAAACTATTATATTATGAAACAATTCTTTAAATTATAGTATTTGATGAAAAAAATCATGCAAACACACACACACACACACACACATATATATATATATATATATATATATATTAACCTGGATATCCAACCCGCTATGCGAGCCGACTAATCTCAGAATGACCACCTGTTTTGCAGATAGCCCGGAGTCACCGCATTTAGATCTTCGTGGCCACAAGGAGATTTTTATTCCTCCTTGGATTTGAACCTAAGATCTCCTTGTACTTTTGACATTTGGAGTCAAATTCAAATCAATCAGACACCACC